TCGGGAGGGAGGCTGGGGAGGTGTCGGTGCCTTCGAGGTGGAAGCAGAGCTGTGCGTCGGCGTATAGGTTGTAGATGGTGGTCCAGGAGCCGTACCAGTCGTAGGCGAGCTTTGCGTGGGATCCGTCGCGAGACATGCCGAGTTGCTCCCATTTGGCGATGTAGGTGTCCGAGATGTTCTGCGGTTGTCAGTTGCTGGCTGGCGGATTGTAGGGATATGTGTAGGAGTACATACCTTGAAGTATGCTGCATCGGTATTGTGTCCGGCTACTTCAGCCAGCTTGCTCATGGCGTTGATGCCGATGATGCCTTTCAGTGCCAGGTTGGTCTGCAATGCAAGCCATCCGGCGAAATCGTCCGTGGAGACTATTCAGATCAGCTTTTGCGCCCGAGGAAATAAACAGAACAGATATTGGCATGGTCTTACGTTGGTTGGCAGGTTCCAGGGAGAATTCCACCAAGTAGCCCGTCCACTGAGTCCAGAGCCTGTAGCTGCGCTGAACCCATTTCTCAGCGAGACGCTCGCCTTCCGCACCACCGCCCCATTTGCCGTCTTGTTTATCAATACCGGACAAGGCTTGCAGCTCGCCCAGAGGGAAGTATCCAGAGTGTGGTTCCGAGACCTTGGGAGGAACACCTAGTGTGGACCAGATTGAAGAAGCCGCCGAGTCGTTGGCATACCGGAGCGAGTTCACAATTGCGAGGCCCATTATGAGGATGTTGCCGCACTCCTCTACTGGCATGTACTCATCACGACCGTCTGGGTGGCCAGTCGCATTGGGGAAATGGGTCCCAAGATCATGCATAGCGTACGTGTTGGGGTACTGTCCACTGAGCATGTGCTCGATCAATGGCTCGAGTAGGTAGGCCAACCAGCGAGGGTTTGTATACAGGAAGAAGGGGAACGAAGGGAAGATGACATCAATGGTCTGGAAATTGCCGTTGGAGGAGATCTCTTTCAAGAACAGGATTGGGTCGTCGGGGGTCCCGGAGAATGTCGTTGCTCCCATGACCTGTCTGGCAGAAAGCGCGACAATGTCTACATAGTCATACGCCCCGGATTGGTAGGCATCCTTTGCCAGCTGATCAGAGTAATCGGAAGCGAGGGTGACCGCATCGGTAAAGTCATTGTAGTGGAAGCTCAGCAGCTCTTCGGGATCCGCGAACCACGATCGCCAGAGTGGTCTCATGAAGGTCAGGCCGCGAGCAGAGGCAAATTGGACGACTGGATCCTGGATCAAAGCAATCGTGAACGTTACACTGTTGTGCGTGTCCTTTGCCTTGCTATCAGGTTTAAAGGACTTGGAGAACGCGAATACAGGCTCTCGATCTCCTATGGCACGGAAACCCTCGTCATTCACGTTCTGGACGGCCCCATTTGTCGCGAAAATGCTGCGGACAGTGTGAGCATCGCCAGAGTGATATTGGACATCCTAGCGCGCCAGTTAATACCCTTGTCGAAGGACGGTTGGATAAAGTATAGATTACTGACAGCAGGTCCAGCAAAGTGAAGGGTGCCCCATTCGGCTCGATCACGGATTTCTGAGAGAAGCAGCTCATTCTGTCTGCGAAATTGCCATTTCTGAAGGGTTGGCGTCTTTCCTTTGAAACCGAAGGTGTCATGCTGCCAGACAATTTGACTCCCTGCATCTCCGCTCACCCAACGCCCATTGAGGTCCATGTAGACATTGACAGGCACATCACCGTGGACATAGACGGTGATGTAGGACGCGGGAATCGACTGTCGCAGAGTCGATGTCGGGGTAATGGGGGACAAGAAAGAAACCGTGATGGCAACTGGAGCAGCCGCAGAAGAGGCAGCCGAATCAATGCGGTAGGTCAGATTGGTCATCGAAGCATCGTACTTGGACCCTAGATACACCGGATACTCGACTTGGGCTCTGATGTGGAATCCGTCAGATTTAGATGCATTTGGTGCTTATTTAATGTGGACCACAGATACAATATTACCATACCCAGACACAAACTCATGAGGCTTGCCCAGCAGCGGATATACAGTGCCGGTGCTAGGGATCTGGACCATCAGAGAGAGCCCAAGTTCTTCCCCAGTATAGAACATGGGCCATTTGGACCAAGGCACCTCTCGAGCATCCCCCAACCAAGTGCTAAGGTAAGGATTCCGCACCGTCAACGGCAGAACTGGAGGTGTGAGGGTTGATGCTGCACTGACAGCCGCCTGGACAACAGCGGCTGCCAGCACCGCAAGGGATGAGCGCATTGCGTTGGTGCACAGCAGAATGTGTAACTAGGAAAGAGGTTACAATCAGATTCGCATGCAGAGAAGGGGATATGCGGGACAAAATAGAGAGTAGTGTAACGGAGGAAGATGGGTTTAAGAGGGATGTTCGGGCGGTCTGTTCAAAGGCTGACTGACGATCAGTGTTGAAACAGGCAGATAGACTCAACTCCACATCAACGGAAGACACAATTCGTCTGGTTGGTGGATAGAGAGACACAGGAAAAGAAATGATCAACTGAAAGAAGGATTCAGTCCAGTCAGTCTCGGAAGCGAAAGATCAAACGGATGATGATGAGGGGCGACGCAGCACAACAAGCCACAGAATGAGTCCCTTACGAAGAAATGCGGGGAAAGCTCGGAATACTGTACTGTAAGAGCCTGGGATGATCAGATGATGGTGACTGGACAATAAGCCAGCCTGAAGTCGGCGTCTCGCTGATGGGTGGTGAAAGATGTTGCGCCGAACTCCCCACTCGATTCATCTGATGGATTCGAGGAGTGAGGGTTAAAGAGACGATTGAAGGTATTCGGATCACTGAGCCAAGGAGATGATGTCATGCGGAGATGATTTCGAGAGGACTGATAGAGGTTCGCAATGATCAAGAACAGAACAATTGTGTCCTTTGAATGGTATCATGGAGGACACAAGGGTCAAGGCACGTAGGTGGTCTATATCGAGATGATTCAGGCATGTTTTCGATTCCAGGACTTTGTACGTTCGTGGGGGTGTATATGTACATCAACACAACATCGACGATGCAGTAGGCTTGGATACGATAACATGTAACATGACTGACAGGAGCAGGACTAGGTAGTTGGAACAAGACAACATTATCAAGGCCCTCATTGAAGCAATGGTGGAACATAGCATTGATCGAGGATTGTGGTTCAACTCGCTCCGGCCATATGTCTAGACGCCTCAGGCACATACCTGATGAGGACCAAAACATGCATCAGAAGTGGTAATCACCATTCAATGTGATTAATTTAATGTTCGGGCATCTGTTTGAATATCATATTTCCAGTCGATAGAGACGGTGGTACAAGAACTCCCAGTAGATAGTTCTCACATCAGCGTGATCATTATACTTCATCGGTCTGGTACCCCGAGGTACCTGAGATGTACCTCGACGCATCCACAAGAGCACCATAGATCTGATTTTGATCTATGATCATCCTCAACACAGCTCTATATTAGAAAATCAATTGCATCCAAGCTAGTCTGAATCTGATATATGACTCTCCGAGTTATTCAATCAATTACTCCTGTCAATGATCTCTTACCACGACGCGTGGAGAGACGCGGGCGACATTTCGGAGTGGGCCTGGTCACGACGGAGGTACCATCTAATACTGCTGGGTACAACCAACCACCACTGCTAGTACTACTAAGGTACTTTTACGCCGTACTATACAGCAGCCACTGCACACGCGCATCTCCAACGCGCTGTTTTCCCTAATTCTCCTCCACCACCATCTGCTTTTCTTCGGGGGAGAGTTCGGGTTCTTAATTGTACTTTCTCCTCCTTCCTCTGTATACATTCCTCGCCTATCTGAGCCTGATTGAAACATTCCTGACCCCAGAACAGCTCGCGTGGTGATCGTCCTCTATTTTTGTCCCACTCATATACTCTTGAATGTTGCCGTTGCAATTCTACCTCTCCCACGACGTCTCACTCTTCAATTCCTCCATCGCCTGTCATACAAGCTCATTACAATGCAGTCTACATTAAACCTCAGTCCCGTCAAAGACGGTAGACGCATCCTCGGCGACAAAACTCCCAACGCGTGTCTGTCTCCCGCACGCAATCAACATCTGGATGCTGTCTCAGACATTTCACCAGTCAAACGCTCGCTCTTTGAGAACCACTCTCCCAAGAAACTTCTTCCTTCACCATCGTTTGTGGGCCAGAAGCGTACAATCGACCAGGTGGAGGACGACTCCCGAATAAACAAAGGGAACGTGCAGGTCCAACGTGTCGAACAGATGCAGAGAAACCATGAACGCAACTTGCAGGATAAAGTCATTACTCAGGCCACAGCACCAACATATGATCAGGTATGCTCATGGATCCCTGATTAAGCTCTGGGACTGGCGACTTGGTACTAAATTGCCTTGATAACAGCAACAATCGGACGCGATGCCCTCGAATGATACCCCCCAGCATACAGAGCCCCAACAATCCAATCAACAAACACGCCGACTATCTCTTCACGCCATTGTAAATATAATCGAGACCCCGAGCCCAAAGCAAATACCTGAGACCAGTACACGGACGATTCCAAAAGACCCTGAGACCCGCAAGTTGTTTATCCAGGAAGTAAGGCACCGCGTCCAAACCTGTACCCCGGCCCGTACTCTAACAAATACCCGACAGAAAGCAAGCCTACTTCGCACCCGGATTCAGAGCGCAATGCGCCACGTCCGAGATCACCAATTCGACCGCAGATTATCAGAGCTGGAAGCCCACAGCCGCAAATATCCCCGACTATCACTGCCCGCCTTGAGTCAACAGCACACCGACCCAGACCATGCATTCCGGCGCAACACAACCACGGAAGCAACAGCAGTATTAGCAGCAGCAGCACTCGCCTCAACATCACCGTCCAAGAAAACACCACCTAGTCTCGAACCCGCACTAGACGTCGAACTCGAACCCACTCCGAAGAACTCATCCACCGCGCCCCCAGGCCTCTCATCTCCACCTCTATCGGCTGGGACAACCGCCAACCAGGAGGATGCGGACCCGCTGAGGACGCCAACCCAGAAGAACTTTCACCGCCGCACAGACACGCTTGAGTCGCCCACAGCCATGCAGCTGAGTAGTCCCCCGGCCACCGTCTCACGGAACCGAGACAAGAGGATCATCGACATGACGGATGAGCATGACGACGAGGTCGGCGACGAAGACAACAAGACAGAGAAGATAACCACGCCAGCACACAAGGGCGATGCGGTCGACGGGCTCCTTAAGCTTATGAACACGTCAGATAAACGGCGCCAGTCGGATACCTGGAGCGGATGATACGGCTTTTGCTGGTTGATGCATGATACATGATACACGTCTTGTATAGTATATAACGGACCCATAACTCAGTGCGCTCAAGGCGTCTATGGTGTGCACCCTTGACAGGTACAATGGATAGATACTTGGTTGGATAGTCGATAAAGACATGGTACACCGGGGATTGAGACGCGAGCTATGATTGCACATCAATATCATGTACACCCGTGGCAAGTGCTCCACTACGAAAGTAGCAGTATATAAGACAAAACCCCTGAATTGGGCAGAAACCCCGCTAAAAGATCTATTTGATGCTAAAATATTCATGACCATGACCTTTGCAACTACCGCACCTTCTTCAACTTGTTCCGCTTCCGTCCCAACACGTCACGGCCCTCGTCAATCTCCCCCGAGGCCTCTCGCTTCGCCTCGCCCACTTCCTTGAGAACACCCGTTCTCACCACCCGACCCTCGATACTCACGCCCTCCTCGCTCCACTCCTCCATCTGCCGGCCGACGCGCTCCTCGATCGCCAGCACCAGCTGCACATCCCGCTGTCCGACCAGCGTGACGGCCTCACCGCTGCGGCCGGCACGCGCCGTACGACCGACACGGTGCACGTAGTCGTCCGGGTTCCGGGGGACATCGTAGTTGATGACCAGACTGACGGTGGGGATATCGAGACCACGGGAGGCGACGTCCGTGGCGACCAGGATGCGGGCGGCGGAGGCGCGGAAGCGGGCGAGGTTGGCGTTGCGCTCGGACTGCGGGAGGAGACTGTGCAGGGAGGTGACGCGGTGGGCGAGGCGGCGGAGCATGCGCTCGAGCAGGTCGGCGGTCTTGGTGTGGTTGCAGAAGATGATGGCGGGTCTGGAGGCGTTGCCTTCTGTGGAGAGGAGGACGTGCAGGAAGGCTTCGCGGTGCGTCAGCGGCACTTTGAGGTAGGTCTGTTTGAGCGTCGGGGGGATCGAGCCCTGGTTCTCCGTGGAGATCTCGGTCACGAAGACGGGCGGCTTGTTGGCGGATCGGGGCATGTTCTTCAAGGCTCGGACTTCGGGGGTGACCGTCGCGGTGAAGAGGAGAGTCTGCCGCTCGCTGGAGGGGGGCAGTGCGGAGAGGCAGGTTTCGACGTCGGGGAGCATGCTGCCCGGCCCGCTGGAGAGCAGTCGGTCGGCTTCGTCGAGAACGACCATGCGGACCCGCTTGAGGCCGCACACTGTATCTTCGCCGGACGTCTTGATGTGATCTGCCAACCGGCCGGGAGTCGCAATCACCACATGCGGTCTCCCCGCCAGAGCAATGGCCTGAGATCGCATGTCCGTGCCACCGGTGATGAGAACAGGTTTCATGCTCTGCGGAGCCGAGATGGCCTTGATCTGCTCGAATATCTGCAACGCAAGTTCTCTGCACATGACCCCCATCAGCCTCGATCTATTTCTACCCTATAGCGTGGGGGAAGCATACCTCGTCGGTGTCAACACAACCCCGAATATCCCAAACGGATCCTCCGCCCACTTCTGCAGCATTGGAACCGAGAAAGCAATCGTCTTACCGGAACCAGTCCGGCTGCCTCCAATACAGTCCTTCCCCTTGAGGATCTCAGGTATACACGCCTTCTGAATCGCCGTTGGCTTCCTCACAGCCATCGTCGTCAGCGACCCAACCAGCCACGGCGCGACATTCAACGCCGCAAATGAAGAGGCTTCCTCCCGCAGCCCAATCTCCAACGCATCGCGGATCAGCACTGGATTCTCCTGACCTGCCGGTGTTGCAGGTTTCGCATCTTGTGCTCCTTTCTTCTTGATACGGGAGAGGGTGGGGAGCGGCGCCGGCGCAACGTACGAGTCGTCAGAGGATTCGGAGAGTCGTCGTCTTTTGGGGGCTCGGGTTGAAATCTCGGATTGGTCTACTTCGGAACCAATAGATGACTCGTGTGTATCCTCAGATACCGGCTCTGCAGGAATTGGGGACGCCATTGTGCTTGTTGAATATTCTTTGCGACGCTGAAATTCTTCGAAATTCTTCGGCAAAAAAAGGTGACCGCGCAAAGGCGGTGTAGTCCCGCACGTGATTACTCCACTCATATACAAACCGATGCCGTCCAATAGATTCTCTCAGGATATGAACGGATATATGGGGTGTTACCTAGGGTTGCTTCTATTATCTTCTCTAGACGCAAGCATATATATGTAAAAAAGTTGATCACCCAATGTCAAAGTCATATTCGCCCTCTCCCAACTCAGTCCACCCTGCTCGTCGTACTTCTCCTCCGAACTGAAGACATTGGCTGCAATTCGTGGGACTCTCCTCGCTCCAAATCGTCCTCGATAGGCGATTCCGAAGACGAGTCTCTCCGGATCATAACCCCTCCACTTAAGTCTGTCTTAGAGCGCCTATTTGATGTCTCCACAGTCGAAGGCGCTGACAATTCAACCTCGTCGTAACCATAAGTCCCGCCAACGCTTTCCATGGTAAACGGACTGGCCGTGGGGCCGTCAAGAATAGCGAGTTCTTCTTTTGTGAACCAATAGGGTAGCACAAACGAGGGTAACGGAATGAGCAGCAGGATAATCACAGGAAATCCGATGGCTGCAATCGTCTGGGTGATGGCGAACGTGGCGCCGAAGCCGATCAATTCGATGATAACAAACAGCCAAATGGCGAGTCTGCGCTCAATTCGTTTCAACGGATTCGATGGAGAAGTGAAGTTCTTGTCCTGAGCCAGGAAGATGAGTTTCTGCGTGATACCGTTGCCCTGGAGGGCTTGTACTCCCATGACGAAGAAAAGACCCGCCATGACGCCTTGAGGGATCAAATGCAGGACGATGAGCAGTGGTCCGGTCATGGTACCGAGGGTCAAGAGACCCTGAGCGAGATTACTGACTCGTTGCTCGACAACGTGGTCCGTGACGCGGATCGTTTTGCCTTTGTTGGTATCATCCTCATCAGCCACATCGCGTGTGACGCAAAGCGCAGCTGTGTGGAAAGGTGCCTGAGGGATCAGTCCATTGGGGAACGGGAGACCCAGGATTCCAGCTACAAAGGTGGTGAGACCCAGCAGCCAGATATCCCAGTGGAAGCCAGCGGGTTTGCGAAGAGGGAACTCTGTTCCCTGCGCAATCAGTGATGACACTAAGTAGAGTATGTCAGCCCACTGTGATTCAATCGATAACCTTCAGAAAAGTGAGAACCAACCATTGTGGTCGAAGTAGAACAAAATTGTCAGAAGAAGGGCAAACGGAATGGCGAGAAAGACGTCTCCAACGCTGATATTCCAGAAATCCACCAGCCAGTCACGATCAGCGGTGGGAAAGAAGGCTTTGCTGGTGGGCAAGGTCGCAACCTCGACATCCCTCATGTGGCCAATGTGGACGAATCCAGTGAAGAATATGATAGTCAACGGCGTACCGTAGTCCTCCAGGAATTTGCGGACATATCTCTGGAATAGAGTACTGTTACCGAGCTCTCCGCAAATCCATCCACTCATGAGGACAAGAAGGGCAACCATAATACTCAGGTAGGCAGAGGTGTCCCCGACCTGCTCCCATTGTCGGGTCAAAACCTGAATCCCTTTCTGCAGGTAGATGAAGGCCACGTAGAACCCAAAGATGTCACACGAAAAGCGGGTGACATAAGTCAGACCGTTGCAAGCGTTGGTGATGGCCAAAATCCAATGCATAATCAACGACCAGCTTCAGACAGTCAGCACACAGTAAGAGATTCACCCGAGCAAGGAGGACCTACATCCCAATCCAACACATGAAAGCGAGGTAGGGCGTCCCACGCGGCGACACGATATCGTAAACAGTGTAATTGAAGACAGTAATCGGACCTAGACATAAACAGGTGAGCATCATCACCACCACTAACCTCCCAAGAGATGAAGACCAAACACACCAGTAACACCAACAATAACCAAGGGCTGCGCAGCGAAGACCGAGAAAACAACAGCCCCAAGAACAGAGGCAAGAAGGACCTCATTGACCCCATAACTCTGATTCGTCTTCTCGAACATGTCCAGCGAGAACGCCAGAGCAGGCAGAATACTGCCCCAGTCAGTTTTTCCTCTGCACCGCAAACTGCCCTGACCAGCCAACTTCAAACCCATACTCACTTGGCAAAATACATATAAACAGTAGCAGGAACAACCCGATAATCCCACGCATCCGTCCAATCACTCCAGTAGAACGGCGCCCTCCGCTTGATATCCTTGATCATGCCGCGGAAGAGACGTACGCGCCACCACTTGCTCGTCCGCACAGACGACACCCCGGTCTGCACCCTAGACAGACCCTCAACACCATGCTGCTCTTGGTAAACACCGCCAGGCTGATGCTGGGAGCGCGACTTGCCACTTCCTGGCCGGGCGTGCTGCGACCCCGATTGCCAAGGATTCCGCTGGGCGTGTGATGACGAGACCGAGCCCCGTGAGGTCGTAGTGTGTAGATTTGACCTCGGGGGGACGGGGATCTCTTCACGAGAAGAAGTGTGAGAGGCTCGCCGATTTCTCTGCATGTTGTACAGAGTACAGTTGTACCACGCTTTCGTACCTAAGCAGAACTGTGCTGGCAGTGAAGTGAAATGGGGAAACCACGTCAACCGCAGCGGGGAATCTGTGGTGTCGGGAGGATGTTTAATCCTAGGTCTTCTAAAATCCTGAAGATTGAACAAGAAGCAAGAGATAGTTGGACAACCTTTTTCAAGCCTGAGGCACCGGCTGTCTAGTGCATAGCGGCCTAAGCGATGCACGGAATCGCCCGATTTGGCTGTTCCATTCCTTTAGTACTGCTGCCATTGAGGCCACTGACATCATTTGGAGTCCCTCGACGTCTTCAACATTACAACGATCACGCTAGATTCTACGGAAGGATCTCGATTGAAACAATGATTTGCATGGATAATCAATTAAGACACATTAGTGGCATCAATGTCAACGCTCATACTAGCTTTGGAACTACCAATAGCCAATTTCCCTGCGCGCTTTTGAAATGTCATACTGCTCGCAATGGAGGCGCGCTTGACCGTGTTTGCCGATACTTCTCACAATTTCACTTTTCATGATTGCAACGGGTATATTGCTGTGAAAAATCCTTCGTGCTGCATGTTGTCTATGCAGAAGGGGGAGGAGGTGGGGGCAGCTCACTCGGAGGCTGTACGCAAGTTAGCAATCTTGTTTGAATCAAGTTGGTCAAAGGGGAGAACATACAGGAGGTGGGGGTCCTTCGCCAGGGGGAGGTGGTGGAGGGCTGCCAGAGCCGTAGTACATGGAAGGCATGCCGGGCGGAGGTGGCGGAACACTCAGACCCGGAGGAGCACCCGGGGCGCCCATACCAGGCACAGATGCGCCATAACCGGGATAAGATCCATATCCATAAGCACCTTGTCCGCCGGGTGGTGGAGGCGGAGCTTGCTGTTGCCAAGGAGCAGCGCCACCAGCAGCAGCACCAGGGGCGCCGTAGCCACCTGCATGCGATCCGTATCCATAGTCGCCGCCACGGCTCTGCGCCGCCCATGGAGGCGCACTGCCGTGATCCCGGGATCCGTAGTCGTCGCGAGAGCGGTTGTCCCGCCCTCTCTGCTGCCAGGGAGCCACATCGCCGGGAGGAGGTCCGCGCTGCCATGGCTTGGCGTCGCGATCATCGTAACCGTGATCGGGACCGGCTTCGATGCGGCGAGGAGGCTGACCGTCTGGACCTGGAGCACCGCCGGACAATTCTTGCATAAGTTGCTGTTGATAATTAGCATCTGTGGTTCGAGAATCAAGAAAACATTGAACTTACCTCCATCTCACGATCGACAGCATCGCCTTGCCCGATAGCTCTGCGGCCACCGCCATAACCGCCGCCATTTCGCCAGTCGGAACCTCTCTGGCGATCAGGACAATCGCGAGCCATATGGCCAGCATTGCCACAGACGCGGCAGATGATGTTGGCGGTAAAGTTACGCTGCTCGGGACAGTCGTACTTGCGATGTCCGATTTGGCCACCTGAGCGAGTTAGTATAAGCAATCTAATGCGAAGGAGAGCAATCTGGAAACTTACAGTTCTGGCAAGCCTGATTCTCATCATCACGGAGGGTACCGTTGAGAGCAGCCAACTCTCGCAACTGGTTTCTCTTGAGTTCGTTCTGGCCTTCAGGAATCGAGGCAGCCTGTCATCCGCCGTCAGTATCTGAATTTCGTCCAAGGGAGGCCCATAAACTTACTGTTTCAATAACATTGTGCACAAGCTTCTTGGCCTTGTTAACCTTCTCTTCAGTATCTGCCATGATCAGACAATGGAGATCTTCTTCCTGGTTACTAGCGTGAGCCGCGTCAGATCGACCTTTTCCTTCTTTGACGGAGCCTTTGCCTCGGATGGCAATCTTGGCGCCCGATTCGGCCTCCATCTTCTTCAAGGTATTTCCACGAGGTCCTATGAGTAAGCCAACTTTGAAAGGTAGCAAAGAGCTAAGTGTTAGTTCACGATGGTTATTCAAGGAGAGCAAAGCAATCAAAGCAAGATAGTTAAGCAGCAAGGGTTAGCAGGAAGCGAGCCTTTGACACATCATCACAAGGCGATGTCTCATGGGCCCGACTCGAGCAGAGAGCCAAGAAAGGGTTAGGAGTTAGAGGGTTAGTTATCATACTGAAGTTAATCTCTGGATAGTCATTCACTGGAACATAGACCTTCTCCTGGGTCTTGGTTGGGCGCCTGTAGTCAGAGGGCGGGTGGTAGTTAGGAATGGTCTTCATGGCCTTCTCGACGAGCTTGTGGCGCTCGTCCTCGAGACGCTTCCGGTAACGGTATTCTCTAGTGTTTACACGTCTGCCAAAGTTATCGTACTGCGGAGGCGGCGATGGGGATCTGCATAGAAGAATTGTTAGCTCAGGCGAACACCTGGAGAGGAAGAAAAAAAGAGGGGAGGCACGAACCTATCACCATCCGCAGGAACAACATCGTTGATACGGAGCTTCTGACTGATCTCTTCAATACGAAGATGCAGTGTATAAGCCTCAAGCTGTTCATTGGTGAAGTTTGCCATGATCATCGTGGGCAAGCCCATGAGACCGGCAGCCTTGTTCTCCTGAGCATCGCCCCAACGGTTGCGCTTCTTGCGCCGTTTCACGCCGTCAGCAGGAGGGTCCGCTGTGAAGGAAGCGTGTTAGTGAATCGACTGAAAATGATACAATTAAGGCAAGGACGTACCTCGGACTGGACTTCTACCACGCTTGATCCCATTATCTCCACCGACAGATGCAGGAGTCGCGGTGCGACTCTCCTCCTCTGCGGCATCATCACCTCCAAAGCGTCGACGGCCCAGAGGGATGTTGTTGGAACCGGTGATTCCTTGATTGCGCCAGGCCATTTTGTCCCGGTGCTATAAGCTGCGATATAAGAGTTAATCTGTCTGGTAAGCAAGCACAGAGCTCTGTCCGATATTGAAGTGAGAGCAAGAGCTATTAAATACTGTTGGGTCTGAACCACAGTTCAAGGGACGATGTGGCAAGCTTTGTTGTCACGTGATATCTTTGACCCAATCACGTGGTTTATACTCGCGTTATCCATTGGATATCCGTAAGGTAGGTCTGCTCGGGCAGAATCGCCTGTATCAAAATGGGAGATTCAAAAGCCATTAAAATATTGTCAAGTTAAGAGAGAGTTATTTCAATATGCTTTTACACAAAATAAAATGCCCGTAATCAATGCTTCGCCTTCTCAGCATCCGCCTTCATACCCTGCTGAATCCACTGCCTAGCCTCGGCCGCCTGCTTCTCCATCTGCTCCTTGTTCTTCAGCAGGTCCTTCATGGTATGCGGCGAAGGCACATGGCGGCCCTTCTCGACACCCGGTCGCGCGGCCATGCGCTCCTCCCACGCCTTGAGGTGCGGGAACTCATCAATTTCCACGCCAGCCCAACCAGCGGCCGCCACCCAGCCCCAGTGCGAGATGTCCGCAATGGTAACGTGGTCGCCGACCAGATACCCGGACTTGGAGGTGGAGAGGTGCTTATCGAGCACGCCGTAGAGGCGGCGCGTCTCGTTGATGTACCGGTCCACACCGTACTGGATGCGCTCGGGGGCGTAGCGGTTGAAATGGTTCGCCTGGCCCTGCATGGGTCCGACGCCGGCGTTCTGGAAGTACAGCCAGCTGATTGTCTCGTAGTATTCGCGGGTGCCCCTGGGGTAGGAGATCTTGTGGTCCTTGTCGTACTGCTCGGCCAGATAGGTGAGGATGCTGCCGGACTCGAAGAGCCGGATCTTCTGGCCGTCGGTGAAGGTGTCTGTCAGGGCGGGGATACGGCCATTGGGGTTGATTTCGAGGAACCAGCTGGTCGGATTTAGTATGGATTATAGCCATGAGTGTCACTTCTCTACGTACGGTTCCTTTTGGGTGTTCTTGGAGATCTCAATCTTCTCCACCTTGTATGGGAGTCTATCCCAACAGTCAGCCAAATCACATCAACAGAGCATTGGGATATCGATTCACAATGGGCTCAGAGATGAAACATACCCCAGCTCCTCCAGCGCAATGGAGATCTTGATTCCATTAGGAGTCTGCGCAGTGTACAGCGTAATGTCAGGTCTGTTCGCCATGCTGAGTGATGTAATCGGTCGTTTGAGAGTAGAATATGCACGGAATGTCCCAATTCTCTGCAGAAACAAAAGCATGAGCAGAATGCGATTCTCTTTCCGAAAGCCTCGCCTTATCGCAATGGGGCCTCCAGCTATTTGAAGCTGTCGGCCACATTGCCAATCGGTCCAATTGCCCCGCCGATTCCGCGGTTCGATGATTAATACCTGATTATGATGCCATCTGTGTCCGAGTCCGCCCCACCCCGTTCATGATTTCAAATCCAAATCAACAATACTCAGGTAATGTTCTTGCGTTTGGAGGAAAAGCTTTGGCGAATGAGGATGGTTTCTGGGACCATACAAGCTTTCTCTGTGCATGTTCAGGTGACTGCGGCTTATTTATCCCTGCATGTAGTGTCATCTGTGCGGGGTATTGACCACCTGAGTTGATGGAGTAGACATTACGTCTCATTTTATCAACATTGGTTTGGAAACATCATGAAGGTGATATAGATTCTGTGTTGTAGGCGAAGAAGAGAACCTAGGGATTTACTCGATCGAGGGATAAGCCTACGGACGTGGATACAGACAGCAGGTTTGAGAAGCTACAGGGAGGAAGCTATGTACATCCACAAAGGAATCAACAAGTAACAACCGACTCCATAACCGAAAAGACAGGAAAACCGCAAGCATGCTTACGTTAGTTGACTGACGGCAGAGAGAACGAGAACAAGGTAGTGAACCAAGATAGATACGTCAGCAAAGGATTGGGGGCGAAAACATCACATCTCTTTGTTCTACCCAGCCCCAAGGACAGAAAAGAAAAAGAGGAAACCGGCCTTGCTCTTCTAACGTCGACTACCACGTAAAGCTCTCTTCCACAAAATCGACATGCGTCTGGTCCTGTCTTTTACGGCATACGCGACGAACATCATCACTCAAGCTGCCGTTTCCGCAGACCAGTACTCCCATGGCTCCGACCTGATTCTCGACCTCCATGCCGATCAGCGTATCGATGTTCGGTCGGCCCGGGAACATCTGGACTGTGGCGCTGGGGCTCTGGATCTCCTTGGTATTACGGGGTCTGGTGATGAACAGCATGATCCGAAGGACTTCCCGGCGGCGATCCATCGCCAGGATGCTGGTCATCCAGGGGCGGATCCATTCAAGGTGTTCGGGTGACTGGATGATCCAGACCAGGGTGACTCGTCGTGCAGCAACTGTGCCCTCCGCGTATCCCTTGACTAGGTGGCGCACGAATGGAACCTGATGGGTGATGCCGACACCCCCGGCGAACAGGACGACTGTGCCGTAGGAGTCCATGGTGTGGATGCCTCCGTACGGTCCCTCAGCGAACGCCTTCAGAGTGACACGCGAGTCGGGAGCGCTCAAAGCGCGCTGGTACAATTTGTTCGTGAAACCCGTTCGGCGCCGAACAAGCAGCGAGATGGTCGTCTTCTGCAAGCCGAAAATATCCTGTCGTGTCATCGGCATGCCCTTCTCGTCCGTGACAACTTCCTCCGACTCACTCCAGCCGACGGAGAACGGATGCGAGGTCCACCATCCGATCGAAGGAATGTAGAGGTAGATGTGCTGGCCAGGCTTGAACGTCCAGGGTCTTGCCATCTTCAGGGTGATCCTCATCGCCTCGCCTGGCATGGCCTCAACAACCGCCGTTGTCGCCTTTCTTCCGCAGTTGCGATACACGATGATCGCAACTCGTGCGGCGCGCTGTGGGGAGAGTCAGCTCGAAGCTCATTCAAGTTTAATGGCCAGGCATTGCGATGACCTACCTCCAGACCCCAGAAGATGATGGCGACGAGCAAGTAAGTCTGAGCAGGAAGGCCGTCCAAGTGAATCCAAAGGCCAACCATCGAAACAATAGCCATGGCGATATGCAGATGAAGGAAGGTTTCATAGAATGCATGTCGAATCGGAGAGGGCGAGTGAACCATGAGCCCGACGAACGCACAAGCAGCCTGCAGCACAGTCAGTACAATTGTCTTGACGTGGTCTGTCATCACCAGAACTCACGATCAATCCAGTCAGAAGAAAGGTGCTCTTCCCAAAGACCATTCCTACAATGTCCCAGCCAGCTATGCAACAGTTAGCGACAACCTCCCAGACCTGATTTACACTTCCAAGACGAGCAACTCACCAGTCTGGGCCTTGGGGATAGCCCAGGCAAAGACATGAGCAAGGGTCTCGAAGACCACGATCCGAGCGAGCCAGCGGTGGATCAGGTTGAAAGTGTCGAAGGGAACCTCCAAAAGCTTGATAAGTGGGTTGTTTCGTCCCGCCAAGAGGATGAGCGGAATCAGGTTGACAGTCGCCATAGTACCGGTCCGGTTACGGATGACGCCTGCGACTGAGTCCTCCTTCGTCTTGTAGGGAACGGTGACCACGCAAAGAACCACGTTCATAACGATGATTCCGACTACGATGAAGGCATGGAACCGACTGGGCAGAGTGCCCATGTTGAGGGCCGAAGACAGCTGGAACTCACGATTGTGTCTGGTACGAAACAGCGGGGCGTAGATGATGTGGTTCTTGACTTTGGCGAATGTCCCATCGGCAGGAACGAAGTAACGCTGTCGTTCGTTGTTGAAGCTTGCCAGCCGTCTGAGATGAGCGGAGATGCGGAACCACATCTTCCAGGCATAGATGAAGGCGGCCATGCAACCGAGGACGAGAATGGTGATCCGGGAAAGGTCATCGTTGACAATCTCATAGATCTCCCAAGCCGAACCCCCACCGCCATTGCGCTTTTCCAGATCCGCTGCGAACGAGAGCCCAACCAGGGACAACTCAAGAATGAGAAGGTGCATTGTGAGCAAAGATAATATCAGGACTGAAATTTAAAGAACGAAAAGAAAGATTGGCGATAGTTGAGCCCAGAATCCAGAAGTCCAGAAGTCGAAAGGTCGCGCGAGACCAGCTCTGCAGACCGGAAACTTGCTCAAGCGAAGGGAGCTGAAGACGATTGTCGGTCTCTGACACAGCAACACAGCGAGACGATCAGAACAGCCAGGGCGTCCAAGGGGGGGAGCGCCAGAGTATTGCAGTGAGATTGGCGCGCCCAGGGCCAGGTCCAATGTCCAGAGCTGAGAAAGTCACAGACAAAGGCTTTGTTTTCTATCTGTTCCAGAGGAACCTGATAGAGCCAAAGATGGGTTAAAGAAAGACAAAAGGTCCCGCGATCGAACGAAGTCCCCTAGATTGGATACCTGACGATCTTCCGGATTGTAGCGAATGCTGGCGGGCAACGAAAGGAATGTGAAGGTGATCCAGTCACGATGTCTTGTAAACGAACGCAGGAGAAAGAAAACACAGAACTTTCTGCCAAGCAAAAGAAAAGAAGAACAAGAAGGGAGATAAAGATCTTCTCAGTATGATATTGAAAAAAAGGAAAAACAAGTAGAATAAAAATTGAAAAGACGAAAATGAGGGCTCGGAAGTTCAGAAGCCCCTGCCCAGACAGACGCGGGGGTTGGGTGTCAGTCAAGGTCCACAGACTTCGACAGACTAGATAGAAATAATGATAGAAAGGACATTATTATTAGATTCTTGGTAAGATAGAGGATATTGATGATAGTATTGATGATTCCCGTCTCAGCTCGAATCAACCGTCATTATTGTCAATGCTCCAGCTAGATTGCTGATTGACAGGTCCAATCCCACACAACAGAGACATAGAGACCTCATCTGTCTTGGATCTCGAGTCGAGCTTCGTAGGAAATAAAGTACATACGTGAGACCCAACGTCATCTGTTATCAGAAGAATGCATCCTATTAGCAAGACCACAGCATCACTGACCTCATTATCACAACCATAGATCGATAGACCGAGGAAGCGCCCACACAACTCTGTCCTGCACGCTGTGATACACAGTACTCTGTCCCCAAGATCATACAAAGTCCTCCGTAGACAAATACCCAATGCTGTCGCTCACTCGCTCTCGTGGTGGCAAAGTGCACAGTGCAGTACTGCAGTCTGAATGGCCGAGTCATGAAACCCTGGCGGGACGGACAATCGACTCAATCAAGCGATCTCGAGACTTGGCTTGTTTGAGGTTGTTGGCGCCATGGCTGAAAGGATCCAATCTGGACTCGCAAACGGGAAGCGATCATAGACGGCAGTGGAGATTGTGGATCTGAAGATTCTTGGCGGGGGAGTAGTATCAATTCCGAGTTTCAGAGTAGACGAGACTACGGAGTATTCTATCTATCCGTATCTAGTAGATATTCTACTTACTAGTTAGAAAGAGGGAGAAATGAGAGATTTCCAGTGGTGTCACGTGGCACTGAAAGCGTAACATCATACTGAACAGCTCATGGAATGTGTATTATCTCTCTGATCACAGCGTATATTCTTAAATCCAAGCGATATCCGACTTGAACCATGAAACAGCGGTCGACAGCACGAAACATACACCTACTACTACTCTTAAGTCATACAAATGACACAAATTTTAACCGCGTCTTGGCTCCACGGAGTCTCCTTGAGACGGGAACTGATCCGAATGTCCTACGGAGGAGATAGATTAATTTATATTGGGTCTGGATCATTGTCCAGGCTCGCTGAGTGAGACTGGTCCCTTCTCCCTCGGGTCTATTGGAGTAAGAGGACTAGACAGTCTATCTAACTACCTTACCCTCTAGGAGTCGGAGAATGAACGAGCATCGTTATTAGATCTCCCTTACCAAGTAGAAACTACTTCATAGGCGTTACCTGCTCACGAGATCCTAGACTCATCCTGAAACCAGTAGTCGAAGCATAAAGTCGACGTTAAACTATCTTGACATCCATTTCCCGATGACACAGAAACTCATGCTTATTTAGGAGGCCAATGCCATCATCCACCGAGCAGACAACTACTGCATCAAGACAGATACCCTCCATACAACATATCTAGTGAGGTAATCAGGCACAGTCCTGATCTTGAATGCTATGGGTTCCTGCAGATAGCATGTCTGTAATGCCCTGCGCGACACATGTCATATCCTTGTACACCATGATAGTATATCAGGATAGCTCTAAGAGGCAGCTACTGCAATGTGAAACATTCTTGGGCCTCATCTAGCCATGATGGCGTCAAAAGCGGGATCACAACCACTCTTGGTCCAACCGCCCAGGCTATGCTATACGGAGTAGATATCCCACGAATCAACACGAATGCCACTAAACTGTGTAAAAAGGAAACTCTGTTGTTCCAATTGGGAGAGCCCAAATTGCTGCAGAAAGTCATGCTAAGCTAGCCCAGCACATCAAAAAGAGAAACCAATGCGGACGCATAACATTGCCAGGTCCTGGGTATCGTCCTATTTGTCCAGAAAAATCAAACATCCCAAAAAAGGAAAAACTCCGCTCTGAATCCGGAGCACCAAAAGGAAAAAGAATGAAGGATAAGAAATCAGGAATAGTCAAGTGGTGACCCGGCATCTAACCCTCCCGGCCTGCCCCTGTGGGCTGTGCCATACATCCCGACCTGCTGGGGTCAAAGTCAGAACCGTTGCCAAACAGGCTCATCCATCAAAGGAAGCTTAGCTCGTCCTCACTCTCATCATCCTGGGAGCAAGGTATGACCCTCAAGCGTGAAACAGCACTTATGCGAGAGCTTGAGCGCCGCTTAACACTCGCTGGCTTTGGAATGATGGGAAGGCGTGGCTGTCGAGGTGGAAGAGCGCAACTGCAAGTTTCCAGTGCATGATCGGTCACCTGGTCAATCGGTTCATCCAGTGAGAAAGGGTTCTTCCTATTGATGATAACAACCTCCAATTTGGGAGAGGGCTTCGCCGATTTCAATTCCTCGACGACTGCCCGGTTCGGAACGTTCTTAGCTTGCACTAATTCCCTGAGCACACCACGCGTGCTCCTAGTACGGGCGGCTACTGGGACAGAACGTGCTTCAGTTGACGAACAATGTAACGAAGTCAAACAAGACGGTTGGCTTTTCGCTCCGCCAGTCTGATCTTGTGCTTCATCATCGTAGATCTCCACAGTTCGTGATCGCAGCTTCTTGATGGGCCGTGGGACAAGCTCATCGCCTGAATATGCCCTCTTGGCCGGAAGAGATGGAGCCGACGATGTGACACTTGAAGCACTGCGCTCAGAAGCGGCAGAGACAACTGACTCACTGCTATCTGAGCAGGAAATGATTGAAAATCTCCCTGATTCTGAAATCGCCAGACTTAAATTCCAGTTCGTTTGTCTAGCTTTGGGCTTGGGGGTGCTTGCGATCCATTCCCCGATACTTTCCTCCCAGCGATAGAGCCCTGAACGGTCGGCTCGTTCTTCGGGTTTGTCCGAAGGGTCCGGATTGACGCTTTGCCCCTGCTGCGCCGAAACAACGCTCTCTTGGATCTGAACGGCCCAAACATGGTCATCCGGATCCAAAGTTTTCTCTGCAAGCGCCATTGCCGTTTCCGCTGCAACCTTTCCAAGGAAATAGGATAAACCGCGGACATTTGCCTGCCGAGCCAGCTGTGAGATCTTAGTACGAACCTCCTGAGACGTTCGTGTCTGCTCGCGCAAGTCGCCCTGGCCGCAATAGCGAGATACTCGTTGAACAAGGTCCGAGAGTTCTTTGAGCATATCTTGCTGCAGGGCTAGTGACTCGAAGAAGGAGTCGATGCGCTGCTTGGAAACGGGATCACATCGGGACCTGATGTTAGGTGTTTCTTCGCCAATTTGAAGTATACAGTTGCCCAGCAAGAGATATCCGCGGCGCAAAGATTGGTAGGATGGTCCATCACCGTTTTCTTGTCGATGCCTTAATCCAATATCCCTCTCCACTGTCAATGCTAGGCAATTGATTGCATGTCGGGCTTTGACCCCAACAAGTCCTTCAGGTGCATCTGAAGCATTCAATCGCGCGATGTGCATACCGCAAAGCGCGGTAACAAGGCTCGAGACAAGATTGCTCAGAGCGTCTTGGACAGGTATCGGACACGGCGTTGAGTCGTTCGCCGGCAGACTTGTCATGGCTGAGGCACGAGTGTCTCTCAAGCGCGGTACTTGCCTTTGATTCAGGTTCTTTTCCAGCAAAGCTGTTCCTTCCATAGATTGATCAATGCCCCCAGCTGATAGAAGAATGGCTTCAATAAGGTGCGTTGCTGAAGCCGAGTTGCTATCTTCGGTTGACACTGATCTGATCGCTTCGTCCACACAGTTCTTCCACCACGTAGTCACCATCCATTCTGGCGGCACCACTCTTCGCAAAAGGAGCTTCGCCAGCTCGTTGTATACAAAAGCCCGCCCGCCGCACCGTGAGTAATAGGTTCGTAAGATATACACAGGGTCGTCACAATGAGTCGACGGCCTTTGCGGATCAAATGCAGGTGGATAGTTGTATGCGTTGATAGTTGACAAACACCTTGAAATTATCGTTTCAAAGGCATCAGTTTCGCCGTGTCGCATGCATTCCTCCATAAGTCGGCAAGCAACCAATTTCGTCAGCCATTCCTTCTCAATCATCTGCACGATCAAGTGAATGCCTTGCGCGCGCACGGCTTCACGAAGAGGTTCCCAGCCATTCCCATTCGGAGCGTAGTAAGCCTCTAATTCCGTAAAATATGCATCGCACATGTCCACCTCGCAATCCTCCTCCGCCTCATCCTGAAATTTCTGCTCATCCGCGATAAACTCGGGAAGGCGCCACGCGATCATTGATACCAAAGAACGAGCCCCGGGGCCTTGCTGCTGCGAACCTGGCGCAATGGCCCGCGTATTATGCAAAAACTTCAAAAAGATACGATCCAACAAGTGCGCAATATCCACAAGCCCTGCGTCACCCGACAAGTCGAGGACCTCTTTCCAAGATCCCTGGTAAGCCGGAAAACTGCTATTATTCGTTCGCGTCGTCTTTCGCTGACCAGGAGCCCCCACATGACTCGCAGAAGGCGCCGCGGGCAAGTCTACCCTAAAGAGACGTTTCCGAATAGATGATCCGTCCCACGTCTGTCGCACCTTGCCGGTGATCAAAGGCGTCGCGATCTCGATCGCGCCGGGCAGGGTCCGCTGCAACTCCGGACTGCGGATCAACAGCCTACTGCGCCGTCGTCCTCCATTCCTCTGCCCTCGACTCGAATAATTATGTCGTATGCGACGCTTTTCCCGTCTTCCAGGCACCCAGGCAGGATCGTCCGGTTCTTCGTCTGAGAATTGGCAACTCGCCTCGGCACTGGGGACATTCCGGGGCTTCGCCTGTTCGGTGTCGGCGTTCTCTGTCCGTTCCTTCCATTTTGATTGCGCGATCGATGAGAGAATCTCATGGTGCTTTTCTAGTCGATGGTAGATGGACGTCAACGGGCGCAACATGCGGTTTGCCCATTTCGCGGTCGGTCGGACGTCCTCCATAGTGACATGGAGGATACGAGCACGAGAGATCGAGTACACTATACACTGAGCCAAATGAGTTTTATTCGTCGGTTGGAGTTCCTGTCGAATATGTTCACTTACCAGGACTGCCTCACTGTGCTTTAGCGGTCATCCATCGTTCAACCAGCTTCCTGCAGGAATAAACCTGCTGTTCAGGCGCCCTAGAGATGGGAGTAAAATAGGCTATAAAACTGCTGCAAATATAATGCAAACAGAACGGTTCAAGGTAAAAACTACGGCAATAAAATGCCATAAGATACAGTGATATGAGGAAGAAGGACAACGAAAGCCGGGTCGATCATCATTATTGACAAGAGATGTAAACATTGGATCCGAGCTGGGATTCCAAATAAGGTAAAGCGCACAAGACCGGCAAAACAAACTATGTACTTCTTTGGGTTTAGCGCACCGCCAATGACTCTAGCCTGACTGCCTGAGTAAATGCTCAATATCAAGGTCAAAGCTACAAGACCAAGATACGCAGTAGTCGGGTAAGAAGATGAAGAAAACATTCTTCTCATGGAGTGCATAGCTTCATTAGCTGCATGTCTAGGTGGCCGCCAGTCATATATATAGTACATAAGAACACACAAGTATGGAATGCAAATCCCCCAACCTGCTATGCACTGTTTGCAGAATCACACAAGAACAAGGTGGAACGTGAAAAGTGCCAAGTGGCGAAAGAGTAGAGAGATTCATACAATCAAAAGACAGATATCCCGCTCATCCAACAGACCAACCCTTAAGACCGACATACAGATGGAAAAATATGTTATTGTTAACACATACATGGTCAAAGAGTAGAATCCAAAAAACTTTTCATGTTTCCGGGTAGAAGGGATAAAAAGGATGACTCAGATTCAAGCGGACGACTTCTTCGAACCGCGCAGCTTGGGGTTGCTTGCCGCAGCACGCTTCTTCTGCTTGGAGCGCGAAGAGGTAGTGTCACCTCCCTCAATGAACTTGAGCAACTCGTCAATGCTGCGCGAGTCCAGAGAGGCGTTGGCAGCATCCTTGGCGCCCGAAGCCTCAGGAGCTGTTTGGCCAACCTGGGGTTGGACCTTGGTGCCAAGGGTGGTCACACGAGGGTTCATGTTAATGCGGCGGAGGCGGCGAGCCTGGATGTCCTTGGCGTGTTTGGCGATGGAAACGGCATTCTGGGTGAGCTGCTCGAGCCAAGTCTCGGCTTCCTTGGTGTTGCGATCGTTGGGTCCAAGCTGGTTCAGGAAGATGTTGTAGGCATCCCGCATCTTACCAACAGCACCCTTCGAGTCCTGGTCAAGAGCCAGAGCCTGTGCCAACTGGAACAGAATGGTAGCGGTGTTGATGGACTGCTTGCCAAAGAGCGACTCGCATACGGCCAGGGAAGCCTCGAACCACTTCCGGGAATCAGAGTACTGCTTGAGGTGCTGCAGCATCACGGCGGCGTTGTTCATGGTGGTAATGGAGTCAGGGTGGTTGGATCCGTAGATGATCTTCCACAGATCCATGGCGTGCTTGATGTAAACAAGGGCAGTCTTGGTGTTTCCGGAAGCGTGCTCGAAAAGACTGAGGTTGAGGTAGGCCAGAATGGTGTCGGCAGAGTCAACACCCAAAGTGCGCTCCGTGACGATCACGGCCTTACGAGCCAGCTCGACAGCCGCTTCCTTCTCGTCCGTCTGGTAGTAAAGCATGGACAATTGGTGGTACAGCTTGGCAACTTCAGGGTGGAGGATACCGTAAATCTGCTCGTGCAGGGACAGAGATTCCAAGATGAGCTCCTGGCCCAGCTGCTTCTGGTTCTGCATCAGAGAGATACGTCCAGCCTCCAATGCCTCCTCGGCAAGGGAGCTCCTAGGAGAGGCGTCCTTGACCAATGGGACCACGTTGACGATATCATCCGGCACAATCGAAACAACGGGCTTCTCCTCGACGACAGCACGGCTTGGGGACTTGGAGTCACCGCCCTTCTTCTTTTTCTTCTTTCCCTCGTCGTGTGCCGCACCGTTGACGCCGTTGGCGACAGGTACCTTGGGTGGAAGCTGAGCCTTGGTGAAGGCGTAGTCACGAGCACCCAGCTGAAGACCCAGCTTGATGGCAATGTCACGAAGAAGTTGGAAATGTCTCAGGGAAGCGAACCACTCTGGCTCCAAAGTGTAACGGTATCTCAGGGTAACCTGCTTCTCGATCTCGGCCCGGAGGGTCTCTGGTGTGACCTTCTCGAACGAGAAGTCGCCCTCGGGGTAGATCTCGCGGAGGGAAGCATCAATCTCCGCGCGAGGGTTGAAGTTCACGTCAGCACCCAATAGGCAGTTCAGCAGGTGGGCGACGCAGGACGCGACGAAAGGCGCAGGCACATTCCGCAGATACCGGTTGGTGATGTGCTTGAAGGCACGGGCAATCATCTCCTGAACCAGCAAAGTGGTCAGAGCATCCAGGCGAGAGCCCTTCTCCTTGGAGAGCTGAGCCAGCTTGCCGAGATAGCGGATGTTAATACCCCGCTTGTGCAAGAGTTGGCTGAGGGACTGTCCATCCATGGGGAAGCCAACGTCACCATCGTGCAAGTCCTGAATCAGCTCGGGAATGACCTTGGAACGCAGGAACTCGCAAGCATCGCGAACCTCCTTTTCGTCCTCGGCCCATTGCTGCTTCTCCTCCTCAGTCTGCGGGACCTGGCCGCTGCAGACATCGGGGTTGAGCGCGAGCTGGAATCCGGAGATATCCACCCGCTCTTGATCAAGAGCCTCTGTCTTTTCCTCGGATTCCTGCTCTTTCGATTCGGCGGCCTCGGAGGACTGCTCCTTGTTGGCAGTTTCCTCTTGGGCCTTGGCGGCACGACGGCGCTCGACCTCAGCCTTGACATACTGGCTCATCTTCGACCTCCAGTATGACTCAACCAGCTCCAATCTGAGGACTGACATGCGGTGAGGGTAGTCGTCACTGCCGGGTTCTTCCTGCCACATAACATCAAGAGGAGTCACGCGGTAGAGATCAAGGACGTATTTACGGCCATCGGTGCCCAAAAGACCCTTGGTTTCGACGCTACCTTCGAGCTCGTGGCGCTTGCCATCCTTGTCCCACACAGGGTGCTTCTTGATGCGGAGCGCCTTGGACATCTTTTCAAAGACGGAGACGAAGTCGGGATGTGTCGCGACGACGTCTTTGCCCTCGACACCACCGTAATCAATTTGGTGCTCTCCGGGCTCGCGCTGCTTGAAGATACCAGGCACAATGCTCTGACCGACGATACGCTTGCCGAGGTAGTCAACGACCACAGTTCCCGGTGTGAAGAGGCCGTTGATGTCAAGCTGGTTGACTGCCTTGATTCCCAAGACGTCCTTACCAACGGCCACGCGGGCGGCTTCGTCACCGCCCTCGGACGCGAAGGTTCCGACTCCGTCAGCGCCAAAAGAGTAGAAGATGTTGTTGTACACGAAGATCTGAGCATCGCGATCCTCAGTGGGGTTCAGAGGAGCGACTTCGCCCCTGGCCACGAGCACCGCACCGCGAGCGGCAGCCTCATTGTAATCAGCGAACAGCTTCGAGGTCAGGCGCTCCCGGAATACTCGGTCCTGGACGGTCTCGCGGGGCAGCTCCCGAGTGGTCTGGAATTCCTCGTTCCAGTCGCGCAATGTCTCGGCGTTGTCCACACCGGAGATCAGATAACTCTCCTGAGAGCGAGTAATGTCGGCCTGATGGGAGTTGGCATTGGAAGAGGGAGGGGTAACGAGCCATGGGCTGTTAGGGATAGCATTCTGGAAAGGGAAGGTAGTCAGGAGGTCCTTCTTGTTGTTGGACTCCTGAAGAGCTTCAAAAGCAGAGTCGAAGGAGGGCGACAGTTTGGATATCAGGGTGAGCAGCGAGTGTGCGCTGACTTTCTTGGGGGTGGTTCTGGGGAGAGGATCGAACTTGTGATTCGAGCACTTGTTGACGTAGAAGCCAGAAACATGAGAGGTAATCTGAAACTGCTCGCCCTCGTTGGTGGTAACCTGAAGGTAGAGTAGGTGACCCTTCTGCCGAAGATGGTAGGGAGGAGGGTTCCATGCTGATAGCGAAATCGCTTTCACAGTCTTAGGGAGGGGTGCCTCTGCTCTGGGGAGGATGGTCTTCAGAGAGGGAGAAGCGGTGATGTCATACTTGGACAGAGAGTGCTCCTTCTCATCATCGGCGGCTTCTTCGGTGGTAACAACATCGTGCAGCGACAGACCGGCGTCGAGACCGTGCAAATTGTCGGAACGATCGCCAGCAGCACCAACCAAGTCTCTGATTCTGACCACATGCATCCGGGCTTCCTTCTCCGTGTAAGGATCCTCCACGAGGACGATCTCAGAATCGGCCTTGAGGTCTTCAACCTCCGACAATTCAACAAAGTCATTAATGCGCTTGCCGTTGAATTCGAGGTGGAAGCAAGTGTACTGGAAGGTGCCGGGCAATTCGACGATCGATTGGCGGACATCCTGAACCTGCTCTTGGCTTGACACCTGAAGACGGTAAAGAAAATGGATTAGGACGATCATTCGTGATCTAGTGTGCTTCTATGCTATCACCCACCATAACCTGGATCTTATAAGGCTCATGTGGAAGCTTGACAGAGATCTGGAAAAGACCTATCGGGCTTGAGGTTAGCCATGACAGTAACCAATGCGGAGAACCATTCATGACAGGTATCACGGATACGACATACCACCACTGCTCTCCTCTTCCTGCTGTCCTTCAACCTGTTCACCATTGGTGGGCTGCTCGACTGGCTGGGCTTCAGGAGTCTCTGTAGTAAGAATGAATCCGTTAGTTTCGTCACTAGAATATGCGGATCGAGGCTGCGAGACTGAGTGGTTGAGAAATCAGACCAACCTTTCGAGTGCTCCATATCGCCATTGGTTTGTGCCATTGCGAAAGACGACAAGATAATTGGAATGAAAGGGGTTATTTAGAGGACGAATTGGTTGCTGAAGCTGTCGCACGACAGCTTGCCTCGAGCTTCGAACGGGGAAGTAAAAGCGGGAAACCGGACAACCGGTTTTCTTCTTTTTTTTTTTTCCTGGGGGGGACGAGAAAGGAAAGGAAGAAATAGATATGATACAAAGGGCAATTGAATCCAGATGAAACAAACCCCGTACCCCAGACAAAATAGAAAATGAAAAGGACCCAGATAAGAGGAGGGCAACTGGAATAAGTCAAGTAAATATCACCAGGATAGATGGGAGGAGGAGTTGAAGCTGGAGAAAGCACGGGGAAGGAAGAGAAAATTTCGCGGACACGGAATACCCTCGGAAGTGCTCGGACGACGGCGTATCTACGCCCACCAGAATTTCTCCACACCATCCAAGAACTCCAAGAGTCAAGTAGGAGTCTCGTTCTGGGAACGGGATGATGATGGATGATGGATTGGAGTGGTAATAACAGATGACTACACATTTGCGCATGATTTCGAGGAGAAATTCGGCATTTTAATCTTGAAGGGGATATGCTTAGGGACACCGATTTGCACGTCATCTATTGTTACTGACATATTCAGCTCCTTTTTCCCATGTTACTTTGTCTGGGCATATTTGCTTGCAGATGTAGATTTCAATAGTGAGTCCATGCTCAATATACCCTTTTTGAGTCACTCGAGGACCTACACTTAGTTATAGGGATCCTGATATAGTGGACATGGCAGACTAGGTATATTCTATCCAGCAACTACACTCACGACAGTATCTATAATCGCTTACCATCGGCTTCTAGATACTACATTATCCTAAGAAGGAATTGACTCTAGATATCCCATAATCGGCATCAACTCACTAGCCACAACCTGGTCAGACATCGTCAGCAAACCGGTCTACCCGCAGTGCCGGATGCATCGCCAAGCCGTGGATCTGCTGGGCTTCATCCGATCGGAGAGGCGCAGCAGCATCCAACAGAGAAAAAAGACAGTCTGCTTTGAGTACAGTCCACACCGACCACGCTCCTTTTGGAACTATCTATCTTTTAGATAGCCTTTTGCTGTTGTCTTGATCAAAGCTCACCTCACACTCCTTTGAATCTTTCTCTTTTTTCCTTTTCATAGCGTTCTTTTTCTTCCTCTTCCCATACAATCCTTTAGTGTTTCCCCCCTATTATTACTCGTCCTGATACTTCAGCCTCTGCTACGTCATCTCGCTGACCTTGCAGCTGATGGTAAATGTTCACTTCATCGTCTTGTAGATGTTTCCGTCTTGAATTCGATCATTATTTTTGTCGTTGTTGTTCTTCAAATGCGCTGTGCGTAAAGGATACTCTCTGAAGAAGATGTTGTGGAATCGATGTGCTCAACGATCTTTGAGTGCTGCGGCCCGCGTGGGCCTGCACAGGCCGATGAGAGCTCATCGAACGGTCCCCTGTGTCGCTGCAAGGTACTTCTCGCGGACACCCGGGCTGTCTGCGACGAATCCGTTGGAGCAAGATAGCGGAGACGATGACCGAGGTCGAGGTCAAGACTCTGATCCCAACTTCAAATCCACCATCCTAAGGATGCTGGAGACGGCGGCCACCACGTTCGCTTCCATTGCCGTGCTAGGGTGCGTCTGTCTTGACTTAAGGTAGAGTTGCGCATAATTCACTAACCAAAGACCATAGCATAGCGGGATACTCCTACCATCAGTATTACAAGTATCTGATCTTGCAGAAGATGGACAACGCTTTCAGTCCTGGCGATCCGGCACTCGAGGTCGCAGGCGTGGAATATGGAAAGCATCAGTATCATCACGACGAGCACTGGATTGTCCGCGATGAGCAGGAGAGACTCGACAAGATCATCCAGGGAAAATCCGGTGGGCACTACTACCTCATCATCGGCGAGAAGGGTACCGGGAAGACCTCGATGCTCCTTGAGGCGATGCGAAAGACCAATGGAGACGGCGTCGCCATGTTTGAAGCGCACGGTGATCTCGAGATCTTCCGCATCAGGCTCGGGAAGGCCCTGGACTTTGAGTTTCATGAAGAGTATGTCCGTGCTGCAACCTTTGTTAATGGGAGCAATCACTTACAGAATACTCCAGTTACATCGGAAGTCTGTTCAGCATCAGAGGCCCGCGAGACACCACTGCCCTGCTTGACATTGAGCGAGCGTTCAACAAGCTCGAGAAGGTGGCGCTTGCGCGAAGGCATAAGGGAGCAGCCCCTCTGGTCTTGGTAGTGAATAGCACCCATCTGGTTCGAGATGATCATGATGGCCAGGATCTGTTGGAAATGATTCAACAGAGGGCTGAGCAATGGGCAGCCAGCAGCTTGGTAACCACAGGTATGCTTCCAGATCTGCTGCCGTTGTAGAATATGCTGACATATTGAAATTGAACAGTGTTCAACAGCGATGACTATTGGGTATATGAACGATTGAAGCGATATGCGACGAGAATGGAAGTCATCCCGGTCGGCGATCTTCCAAAAGATCAGGCAATGGCGGCGCTCAAGAGATACCGTAAGCAGTACTTTGACGAGGACCTATCGGATAAAGCCCTTGAGACCATCTACGATAAAGTCGGCGGGCGGTTGTCGTTTTTGAACCGCGTCGCCAAGGCTAAGGATTACATGAAACTCTGTGACAGCATTTGCGAATCGGAAAAGACATGGTTTCTCAACAAGTGCTGGATCCTCGGTGAAGAGATGGACGACGATGTAATGGATCAGCAGAAATATGCGGTACGTCTACAATTCGAATAACCATCTGCTTTCTTTGGCTGACACGCAAAACAGTCCGCAGCAATGGTGCTAGCCAAAGCACTTGTGGACAAAGAAAAGGAGATGGAAAAGACTTATGACCCGGAGAAGGGTCATATACTCCCAGAAGTCCCGCTCCATGTGGCTCGCGAGATCATGACCAGAGCCGACTTCATCCAGAGCTACGATCATGAGAACATCTTTACCATCGACTCGCGCGCTATGGTCCGAGCTGATTCTGTCCCTATGCAGAATGCATTCCGGGAAATTTGCTCATGGCCAGGCTTCGAGGGCCATCTGGAAGCGACCCTCAAACGGATTGGAGACATTGAAAGCTTGGGACGTACCCGCGAACTTACCATCAAGGATCTGTGGGACAAGGGCAAATACCAGATTACTATGCGAGATCCCAAGGGCCGCGAAAGTGGTACTGTTGAGTTCTCAGTCATGGAACGAGAGGATGAGGATGATGATTGAGGATGATACCATGGTGATTGTGTATAAATATTTACTCTGATGACTATAAGTAATTATGTACGATATTCGCCTTCTCCAACCTATGTAACCATTCGTACAGTATCTCTTGATGACACCATTGTTGCTCAAGCGCAGGCGGTTGTGCGGTGACATCATCACATGTTCACCGCTCAGCAGGCAAAGAAACTATCCCAGTTTCCTCCTGCACTGCACACCCCTTGCATTATTCCCCTCAGCGTTGAACCTTTACTACTTCGAATCGCAATCAAATCTGCAACAGCATTTGTCAAAACTATCTTCTTTCTCAAAGCCCGGCTGTTTTCGACAGGAAGAAATCATGCCTCCGCGCAGGAGGAGCTCCGTGGTCAAGGCCACGCAGGCTGCCCGTTCCACGATTGACGCCGCGAGAGCAGCAAGCAAAACTCAAGAATCGCAATTGCGACGGGTCCCCTCTCCGGTGCGATTCCTCTTGGTAGTCTTCAACAGCTTGCTCTTGAGCTCCGTTCTCTTCACCATGACATCCAGTGTCACTCTGGGCGAGTTGGGCCGTGTGAGCAAGCACCTGGAGGGATGGTGGGAGGTGGGTGGGTTGATGCTATGGAAGGCTGTTGAAGTGGGATTGGCTTGGATTCTTGGATTTGATGGTAAGCTTTCACCCTGCTTCTATCGCGATGATTATGTAGAATTGGGCGCTGACGGTCCTGCGACTCCAGGGCGGGACGTCTTGTCGTTCACTTTTCTCACTCATCTGCCGACCTACTCTCTATTGTCGTCCTTCTACGGCATCCGACCAACCACCATCCTGGCATCATATGGCATCACTTTACTTTCCACCGCGATTCCCTTTATTCTTCTCCGCCGCCCCTCCTCCGTCCACAGTCTCCCCCACGCCCCGTCGGACGCTGTTCCCAACCGTTCCATCCTGCAAGATCGCCCAACGGCTCTCTACACTACCGTCGCAGCAACAGCCATCTTCTCCGTGGCGCTGTATTCCAGCTATGCGTCCTGGCTCCCAGCTTATCTGGTTGTGCATTTCGAGAATATCCCCGACATCAGACTCGCTCACGCCGGCCCCGCGGGTCTCCCGATTCTATTTCTCACCCTCCTCCCAGCCGGCTGGGCCGCTCGCGATTTCCTTTTCGTCAGCTCCGCCGGTGCCTCCAACTCCGACGCCACCTTGAAGTTGAGATCTGCTTCCGAGGGCGAGTACCTTGCATGTGCGATTTACCGTAGAACGTGGGGAACATTGTCCCCGAAGACAAGGGTTCTTGTTTCGCGCACAGCGCTTCTGGCCAGCACGATTGTGCTCAACACCGTTCTCCAGGTTGCGGGGACGGTTCGAGGGGTTGATGTCCCTGGCGCGACGATGTGGGGTTCTATCTGGGGTGTTGCGACTATCGCCGTTGGAGGATTCTTCGGTTGGATTGAGGCCGTGGACGGTGTATGATTGGTGTATTCGGCATGTCTGTTGGAGGACGGAGTTGAGTTTTGACTTTCTTTTGTCGTCCTATTCGATTTTCTGGGGGTTAACTATGTATCACTTTTTCGTTGGTAGGTGTTAGGTTTGTGGATGTGTGATGAGTTCTTTTGTATCTTTGAGCGTGTTGACCTTTGACGGTCCGACCTTGTATCAGTTCGGTTATCTTCTACTTAACCTCGTCGCTAGCTCGAATTTACAGGACTTTCTGAGCAATTACGTCTATCATTACTCGTGAGATCTATTCCAATGACTGATATCTCGCACACAAAGCTGAAGAAAAGGAATACCGTTCTCCAAGAACAAGCAAGAGCGAAGACGCTACCGAAGCTCTGTGGCAGGCATCCCATCCGCGGAGTAGATCTCCCGTTGAAACTCCATACTCTTGTCCATGGGCATCAACCAGCCCGGATGGAAGACATTAAAGATCATAACAGCAGCAACCATCATCGCGCCGTCGAGGGCGATGAAATACCGCTCCGTGGTAATCAGATACCCATCCCAGCCCTCGGACAACTCGATGGTCCGGTAGATGCTCCGAACATAGATACACACGACGGAGAAGATCATCGCGCCGAACAGGGGCACGATGGACCCGGTCATGGACTGCAGGAGGCGGCGGCGGAGGGTGCGGCGGACAAAGTCCGCGGCGAGGACGACGAAGACGGTGATGGAGGCCATTTGGAAGACGATGCCCGCGACCATGACGTGGGTGCCGGGCGCGGTGTCGCCGTTGACATCGCTCGTTGCGGCCGAGGCCATGCCGCCGCCGATGGCCTGGACGACGAGCGAGATGACGTCGCAGGTGACGAAGATCCAGAGGTAGAGGTTTGGGCTGATGATGGAGGATTCGCGGCCGAGCAGGGTGATGAAGCGGCCGAGGAGGACGTAGATGCCTGCTGTGAAGAAGGTGGGTGCTGTCCCTCATCAGTATTGCGAGGTATGGTTTTGGTTATTTTTTGTTGGGGTCTACTCACCAATGATCAAAGTGGATATCTGCATCAAGAAGGCAGTCATGTTATAGGGACACTGCGCCGACCATGTGCGAGCAGCCCACCCCAGGACTTCGGCTGTAGGAATTGAACCCGTCAGCTCGTGTTGCGCCTGTGTTTTTCTGACAAGATTACATACTCAAACATCCGATGCTGAAGACGCAGCACCACCAAGTTCGCTTCCAAGCAAATTGCACAGTGTGAACGATCATTGAGAGGCCGAAGAGCGTGCAAAAGACGATTCCGGCTGCCAGAGAAGGCTGATATCCGTACGCTGTGTTGACTCCATCGATCAGAGGATGGCAACTGTTCCGCAGCTGCTCTCTGAGCTCCGCTGTTACTTCCGGCATTGTGAAGATCTTTGGGTAGGACGCTTATGATCGTGATAGCGAAGGAAGAGAGAAAAAGAAAGAGGAGGGTAGCTCCAGATGAGATCTTATCAGCGAAAAAGAGTGACACCCGTTTCACCGGGTAGGACTGTGTAATATTTTAGTTCTATTAAGGTAGAACAAGTGAGAATCCAAGACGCAAAAGAGTGGCTGAGCTGTATGGAGTACAACCTGTTGATATCCAGTTGTCTCACAGCCCACAAATGAAAGCAATCCAAAAAAGCAGACAAAAAAAGCTTCAAAAGCAGGATCAATGAGCCATGGGACAAGCAATGATAGCCTTACACCCTGCAAATCTTTCAAACCCCTTCATCACTAAATTCGAGGCACTCATACTGATGGCCCGGTTTGAGCATTGTCAGAGATCGGATCATCGGATCTCAAAAATTCGACTGCCTCTTTGACGTTAGGCGCTTCATGATTGTTTGATAATCGATGGAGACAGGCGGGGGCAGCCGCCGGAAAAGGAGCAATCTGATTCGATTCCATGATCAGGCTAGGTACCTTCTGTGACTAACTGTCCAACTGTTCTATCGGGTCGCTTGGACGAGCATTGGATCTATTCGGCAAGTCATTCGCGTGCCCTTCAAACGCTCCATGTCGGGATCCGCCTGGCAGGGAAACCCCGAGTGAGTCCAGTGAGTCTGACGTCCGGCTTCTCGCAAGCTCCACTCAATTGGGTTTAGCGTTTGGGCTCGAGTTCTTCCGAGATTCGACCTTTTCGATAGAAGTGAGGTTGGTGGGCTGGAAACCTGGTAGTTAGCCTCTCTTTGATTCAGATCTCAGGCTCGGACGAGGTTTTCTGTGTCATCATGCAGCCGTAGGAAGATTTGCTCCAATGATATAAGGCCGCGCACGCCACGATCCCGTTTCATCGGCCGTGCCAGAGGCGCAGAGCTGCCTGGATCTCGGGCTGACGAGGTCAATACGAGCTCCTAACGGCGCGATATCATGTCCGACTCCGACGGAATCGATACATCTGCATGAAAAGCATACATCTCATATCCTCAAAATACTCTGTCTCTGAGCGAGCACCATGGCAATGAGGTCTGTGGTGGTTCTCGCGTTGGACGTGCGGACGGGATGATGAGACACGGGATCGGTACTAGTCCTGTTGTGGGTTATCTGTGCAATGCCTTAATTGGCCTGAGGCCGAAAGGCTTGCGACAGTCTACGGAGTCCTTAGGCAACAACATACGCTGCTTCAAGCCATCAGGAGAACCTTGCAAAGTCAAATTACGATCTTAATGACAATTGGTGACATGAGAAGACGAAAAACTATGTCTCTTGGTCTATGGATGACTAGCAGGATTATCGCTCGACTTCAGTCTATCCTCTCACCAGACCCTCATCACTTACACATTCATTCTAGCTTTTCAATCGAACGTCGGCATCGAATACATGTCGTCAGGATCTGAGCATGGTTAGGCTTCCGTCATGGTAATGATTTCACAAGTGCAAAGGCAAACTTACCCTTGCGATTCTCGATAATGTATCTCTTCGTCTCCACAATGTTGTGGTTCAGCTCCGTGTAAAGCTCTTGTTGCCTAATTCGAACGCTCTCGTTCCTCCTCGCCGCTCCCCGAAGGGCAGCCTGCGCCACATGGAAGCGCGACGTCTTGTTCACGATCATCATATCGAACGGTGTCGTGGTGCTTCCCTCTTCCATGTATCCGTTGATGGTGGCTCGCTCTAGGCGTGGCCGTCCGAACAGCAATCCCTGCAGTTCCGTCGCATACCCGTGATAGTTGAAGTGGATGGGTTTGTCATATGTGAACATATTGTCGAATGCCTCCGTTGTGAGAGCATGCGGGTGAGCGCCTTCATTTTCAAGGATCATCAGGTCAGTCACATTAATGACCCGGACACGCAGCTCGGGGCAACGCTTGCGCAGAATGGCCGCGGCACTAATGACTTCAAACATCACCTCGACGCCAATTCCGACCAGTACTACATCCGGATCCAGACCGTTGTCGGTGCTGCAGAATCTCCATATGGATGCGCCGGCTCTGCAGTGACTCTCTGCCTCTTCCGGTGTCAGATATACTGGAGTCGGCTGCTTCGAACCAACCATGAGGTTAATGTAATTCTTTGACTTCAGGCAGTGGTGAAGAGTCGTCAGAAAGGTATTTGCGTCCGGCGGCAAATAAACCCGAGCTGCGGTGGGCTTTAGCTTGAGCACTGCGCCGATGAACGATGGATTCTGGTGCGAGAAGCCATTATGCTCCTGCCTTGTCCATGTGCTCGTCTCAATATAGTTGATACTAGCTATATCGCGGTGCCACATTGTCTCTTGGGCCTATTAAAGTCCGGGTCAGTATTCATGTGAGAAGGGGGCAAACAGAGAGCGGAATACCATCTTGATGAACTTGGAGTATTGCACCATCATCGTGTGGATAATTCCCAGGAAGCTCTCGTAAGAGGGAAAGATACCCGTGCGGCCAGTCAATGTGTAGCCTTGCATGAAACCCTGGCACATGTGCTCGCTCAGCACTTCAATGACACGGCCCCCTCGAGCATTTGAGAACTGATCCCATTGGAAGTTCCTTCCCGTGTGATCCAGTGCCGCGTTCAACTTGTTGCTCTCTAGTTCATCGGGCGAGAACAGTCGCACGCTGTGAGGATTAAGCTGAAAGACCTCGTCGATGAGCTTCCCGGCTGTCTTCATTGCACTTTGTTGACTGCCTTTGTCAACGGCAAGCTTTCTCCAATCCGGGAGGTCTGGTGGCACATAAGCCTTGTATGCCTCCACACGTTGACCGAGTTTCTTCGAATCCTCAGAGGGGATTACGGATTTTATCTCGTCGATAACGTCTCCGTTCTCCTTGAAAAGCTCCTTGGGGCCGTACGACGACAACCACTCCTCAAGGGCCTGCAATTCCTCCTTGTCCTTCTTCGCTTTGGGAAGAGGAACCTGGTGCGAATGGAACGACCCCTCGATGAACTGACCGTGCAGTTTCTTTGGTCCCGACCATCCCTATCAGTGACAAGGACAAGCGTTAGCCAGACTGGGGCTCTTTGGTAATCACCATTTATGTAGCGGACGTACCTTTGGAGTGCGCAAGATGAGCATCGGCCATCTCGGCTTCACGATTGGCTTTCCAGACCGTGCTGCTTGTTGAATTTTCTGAATTTCGTCGATGGCCCAGCTCATGGAGCGATGGAGATCGGTGTCAATGTCATTTAAATCTTGAACAATGCGGACCTGGTAGCCATAGCCAGTGAAGAGAGAGATCAATTCTCTATCATCCATGCAACCAAAAATCGTGCGCTCGCTAATTTTGAACCCATTCAGGTGCAGGATGGGCAGCACGGCACCAGACTCAGCAGGGTCGATGTATTTAATGCCATGCCACGATCTACCCAGGTTGTCAGCACCAGAGCCAAACGGGAGCCACCTTCTCCTCGGAAACCTACGTTGCTGTTGGGCCGGTTTCTGCTTCTCCATCGCCCACTACGCAAGCGACGATTAAATCGGGATTGTCCATGACCGCGCCAAAAGATACCGCAAGGGCGTATCCCAGTTCGCCTCCTTCGTGAATGGCACCAGGCGTTTCGGCATTGATATGACTGATGCAAGTCAGCTACATCCGCCACAGCATGTAGTCCGTAAACGCCCACCTTGGCAATCCGGCTGTTGTGCTGAATGTGGAGATGAGGTTTCGGAGACCCTCGGCGTTTCGTGAGTAGTCAGGATAGAATTTCTCCAGTGAGCCCTCCAGCCAGAGAGAGGCTAGGATGCCTGGCGCGCCATGTCCTGGCCCCACGACATAGAGCATATCGAGGTCGCGCTTTTTGATGAGATAGTTCAAGTGTGAATATACCAAGATCAGCCCGGGACATGTTCCCCAATGGCCTAAGGATGAAGTTAGCGCATGAGTCGGTCTCTATCAGGCGCAAGTCGGAGCAGGCAATCACTCTTACCAAGCAATCTGGGCTTGATGTCATCGTGTGTCAGGTTTCTCTGCAACAGCACGTTGTCCTGCAGGAAAATCATCGCTGAGAGACATTAGCAAGGATACGCCAGTGATGTGTGTATCAGCAGCTATCTCACCTGCGGCGATGTATGAAGCCGCTCGACGGAACTTAAATAAAGCATCGCAAGCAGGTTGCTCCAGACTCGTCAGGTCCAGTTTCACCTGCAGCTGTTCCACTACATCGGGAATATGCGAAGGCAACGCCTGTGGATTTGGTGTATCAATGACTTCTCCTGGCATGGTGAAGGCTTTTCTCAGAATCGAACTGATTGCAAAGTAGAGTTGTATACCCAATATCCTTGCCAAGTAAACCTGAGTTCGGTCCAAGCGGGTAACGACCAGACGAACGATGGATCAAGGAAGAAGGAAAAAGAATCCGAAATCTCTTCAGGTAGATGAATAGATGATGCCTCTCTACATAGAGTGCCAAATGCGTCGTTGAAGTACCGAAGCAGCCGGTTGAAATAATGGCGAGCAACAACAGACTCCCACCAGCACTACGTCACCATGAACCGACCCCTGACATCACTGGATCAAGAACAACAACAGCCAACAACTGTCTACTAGGTAGCGGACTATTCATCTCTGGTGGTCCCATCGTGGCGGAGAATCATCCGACCAGGGAAATGGCTCGATATAATATTAAAGGATCGTCCTGCTATCTTTGAATTACTTGTTTCCCAACCTCCCCTCACTACCTCCAACATGGCACCCAATTCCATCCTCTCCGTCAATGCGGGGTCCTCCTCCGTCAAGATCACTTTCTACACTCTTGAGCGTCCTCCAAAAGTCGTTGCAAACGCACAGATTTCCGGAATCACTGCTCCTCCGTCAAAACTGAAATATACACGGGGCTCCAAGGAGCACAAGGAGGAGCTCAGGGATCGCCTGTCGACCCCTCAAGATGCATTCAAATTCCTCTTGCAGCGCTGCTTCACTGACCCCGAGTTGTCAGAAGTCGCCAGTCCGGAGGATCTAGCATACATCTGTCATCGTGTTGTTCACGGGGGCGACTACAATGAATCAGTGTTAATAACAGACGAGACTTACCACCGACTAGAAGAGCTCGAGGATCTAGCTCCTTTGTATGTGTGATCTATGAAAAGAATCTGCAAAGAGCGGCTAATGACTTCGATTACTATCAGACACAACTTCTCGGCCCTGGAAATCATTCGCACTTGCAAGCAGGAAATGCCCAGTGTCAAGAGCATCACGTTCTTTGACTCTGCATTCCACCAGACGATGCCTGAACATGTGAAGACTTATCCTATCAACCAGGAGATTGCCAAGGCGAATGGACTTCGCAAATACGGGTTTCATGGAATCAGTTATTCCTTTATCCTGCGGTCTGTCGCGGAATTTCTCAACAAGCCGGTCGAGAAGACCAACATCATTGCGATGCATATCGGAAGTGGCGCCTCGATGTGTGCGATCAAGAATGGAAAATCAGTGGACACGACGTAAGACGACCGAATCTTGGCAGTGTTATCGTGGATACTGACGGGAGTGGATCAGAATGGGGTTAACTCCCTTGGCTGGATTACCGGGTGCCACACGAAGTGGTAGTATCGATCCATCGTGAGTGCTTCACTTCACGTATTTCAAAGTATCATGACTCACAGTTGTCAGGCTTGTGTTTCATTACACCAACGAAGCAGGAAATCTGAGCCCTGCGAGCACGAAAGAGATGCATATCAGCACGGTGTGTATTCGTCTCTCAGCCATCGCCGACGAAGCTTACGTTGATCGCTACCTAGGCCGAGGAGATCCTTAACAAGCAATCCGGGTGGAAGGCATTGACCGGAACAACTGACTTTTCCAAAATCGCGGTTGAGAACCCTCCATCCCACGCGCACAAGCTTGCTTTCGATATCGTCGTGGATCGCATCCTTGGGTTTATCGGAAACTACTTCGTCAAATTGGACGGCCAGGTGGACGCAATTGTCTTTGCTGGCGGAATCGGCGAGAAGAGCGCTCTGCTGCGCAAAGCACTTGTTGAGAAGGCCCGGTGTCTAGGATTGGCCATTGATGCTGCAGCAAATGAGAAGGGGCCAGCCGAGGACCAAACGGTCCTGGACATCTCGAAGGAGGGCGGGAACGGACCCCGTGTGCTCGTCTGTCAGACAGATGAGCAGGTAAGTAATTGACCTTTGACATCATCCATGTTTGAATGGGTTGCTAACGCATCTGGTCAGTTCGAGATGGCATATAATTGCATTTTGACTTACGGTTAATGAGTTATCTAATTTAGGCTTCGTCTCAGCGAAGTTGCTCGAAAGCTGATCATGCAATTTTTATACACGTTCTCATGATAACGGTAGCGATGTCCGGTCGATGGAATACCAGCTGGCTTTTACTATGCTTATCTTCCTTGTCTTCTTGCATTGAGATGTCATTCTGAACTTTGTTCGTGGGTCTGGAGCTACGATGCGTTGATTCAGCAAGAGTGCCCCCGCCACTGAGATACATATATATTCTGGTGTGTCCGAAGCCATTGTCGACAACGAAGCCGCCCTAGCAATTCCCTCACTCAGCAGAAAAATAGCATAACTCCCAGATAATACGGAAAGGATGGCAGAGCAATTCACACACTCGTTGAAAACAGCCTATAACGACTGGGCGTATCATTCCATTGTCTCCATCGTCTCGTGACAGGCGACTCCTTGAGTGGCAAGTATAAAGTACCATGTGGACACAAGTAGTTCTACTATGGATCCAGAGGCGACTTTCCCAGAAAGGGTGGAAGTCAAGGTGCTTTGATCAGCCCGAACGAGTCACAGCAGTCCTAATTGATAGATCTTGTCATCTACCTGGGTCCTCGGCGCGTCTAACAAATGCATCACTTATGATTTCAGAACTTGCAACGATCAGCACAAGACCGACGCTATGGATGAGACATCGATCACACCCCCTGTTCCACAGTATGTGCGTATATATGGCATATCAGAGTGCAGTACTCCTGCGAGGTCATACAGGACTTCAAACCTGGAAATCAGGTGGGAGTAGGACGTACGATAGACTTTGTGTCATCCACTAGTCCCTGTCATTCTCGATGTATCATAAGTGATCAAGTAAAATTCTCCCAGTCCCATCAATAGTACGCAATTCGGTGGAGATCGATTGGTAGATCAGGGATCCCAGCCGCAGTCGGGATCTACATCTTGCATATCGAACTAGATAGTGGCGTCCAGTCAAACAAAGTACTTCTGCACATCCTTGGCATCAAGATCGAATTTCGCAGATGCACACGTCCTTCCCGATTTGATCTACCGTCAGAGTACTCCATACCCTGTCTCCTTGGCCAGGCCCAGCACTCTGAAGGCTACTGAATGCAAACAGATGCTCTAGCATTTGATATGTCTTCACCTATCACGTGACAGGTATAGAAAGGTCCTTTAGCTCAGTCGGTTAGAGCGTGGTGCTAATAACGCCAAGGTCGCGAGTTCGACCCTCGTAGGGACTATTTTTTGCCTGCTTACCTTGCTCCGGATCTAATTGACTGAGCGTAACATAAGTATTTGAGCCACTTTTTTGCCGTCTTGCATGTCAGAGAGAAGAGAGGCGGACCTGCATGGCCCTACGATGGAGCCTGACCATTTTGGGCTAGTTCAAGGATGATTCTAGGGGACAAGGCTCACAAGAGAGTTCAGCCTTCCCGAGTGTGCAGAAGGTACACAGTCGACTTCGGGCGGGTCTGTACGAGATACAAAGAAGAACCGGTCGAAGTATCAGACCTCTTTGATCATTAGAGTGAATGCGATCTGCATTGAGTGATGCCCAAGTCCACTCCGGCCAGACGGAAGACCGCAACCAGCGAGGGGAGCAAAAAGACAGATCAGGGCTGATAAACCTATCTGCATCAAAGCGTTTCATAGGAACTACTCCGTAGTGATGGAGGATATCGCAAAAAGTCCAAAAAATGGTCCCTACGAGGGTCGAACTCGCGACCTTGGCGTTATTAGCACCACGCTCTAACCGACTGAGCTAAAGGACCTTTGTGCTGAAAAAGCTCGAGATCTATGTTTACATGAAGAAAGCTCCGAAGGCCCATTGAATCAGATGGTGTTCTGGTGTCGGAGCACCAGTCGAGTGCTCCAGGGCATATGACCTGATATCTTTTCAACATACGGAGTACAAAACGCGGGTATCGAGATATAGTGTGATTATAGGTAGCACAACAAGTTGACACTGCCAACGGGCCTCGAGTCTGTTGAGCAAGTCCACTCTCTCTTCGATTTAGGCTCTACGGAGTAGGGTTCCAGCAAAACACATCGAGTTCCTTACTAAGGGTCAAAAATCAAAATCCAAAAAAGTGGTCCCTACGAGGGTCGAACTCGCGACCTTGGCGTTATTAGCACCACGCTCTAACCGACTGAGCTAAAGGACCAATTTCGTCGAGTGAGCGCGGCGAATCTTTCTTACACAAGCCATGTTGACCTTGAGGGCTTCGACCAACTTCGGAATGTACAGAGTCAGCTTGCTGAAGCTTTCTCTGCACCTGTTTTTCCGATGGGAGGGACAGATGCAAGCAGGTGGTATTAATTAGCCATCTGTGAAGAGAGTCTCTGGCGCAAGCTCGTGCGTATGAAGTAGTTCGCTAACCATGATCTCCGGTTCTAGACACTGGATGTATCTAGGCCAGCTGCCTTGCGATTGACTCGTGCCCATTCTTGACTGCTCAATCCAGTAGCATTCGACCAAAGATCATCGACCACACGGGAGTTGACTCCATCATTGATAAGCAGCGACTCAGCCACGCCTTCGTGTCCGTTCGCTGCCGCCCAAGATAGTGGTGTGCGTCCGTAATGACTGCGAGAGTCAGGATCGACCCGACCCGTGTCGATCAGCAGACTAGCGACCGTCTCATGCCTGTATGCTGCTGCCCATGATAGCGGCGTCCTTTCACCATCATGTTTGGAGTCAACATTTGCCCCTTTTTCCAGCAATAGCCGAACAACACCGGCGTGCCCGTTTGCTGCGGCCCAAGCCAGCGCTGTATCCGTCAGTATCTGACATATGGATCCACTTTGTCTGTTCCTAGGAACTGTTGGACGATGACCTTGCGCCCATTTGAAGCAGCTCATGATAGCAGTGTGAGGCCATTGTTGTCTTTGGAGTCCGCATCAACACTGCCTGTCTCAACAAGCGCCTTCATGGAAGCTTTGTAACCCTTGGCAGCAGCCCAAGAGAGCGGAGTTCAGCAATGTTTGTTTCTGAGGCCTGGCCACGCTCTGTGCTTAAGCAGTAGCCTCACAACAGCGTGGTGGCCCCTAGAAGCAGCATATGAAAGTGCTACCTGCCCGTCATCATCTCTTACATCGGGATCAGTCCTCTCATCCATTAACAACAGTCCCACTGCAGCCCTGCGACCGTTCTCAGCTGCACACGAGAAAGCCATTATTATTTTGTTATCCTTAGCTTCTGCATCAGAAACATATTATTGGGTAGGAGGCCAATGATCTCTGCATTTCCGCTCTCAACCGCCCAGCATCTGGCGAATGCAATGAGAGCAAGGTTGCCACCATTATGTTTATGTTGTCCAGCGTCTTCTATGAGAGATGGTATGGTCAGTAACTAAGGTTTCAAGGTGACATGACTGAACCAGTTGAGAGATTTCACATGAGAAATGCGGGGTGATACACCCACCGGCGTCGAAGTATTGCATGCCAAGACTTACGCATAGGATGAGTGTCTGGAGGAGCATTCTTTATCTCTTGGTTGTGAGAGTATAAATGAGCGAGGTTACATCAGCGAGGTCCTTTAGCTCAGTCGGTTAGAGCGTGGTGCTAATAACGCCAAGGTCGCGAGTTCGACCCTCGTAGGGACCATTTTTTGCTTCTTGATTTTCTGGACTAGAGCTTTCCTGAAATTCTTGTACAGGGTTGAGAATGGTATGAGTTTCCAGATACTAACGTGCTGTTGCTACCTTGTAACACCTTCTCAAATGAAACCTACTACTTACCTACTGAGTGCTCCAGGCAGTGAGTAGCTCACTCTATTTCTGATGTCAGGCCATAAATCTTTGTCTATATGATGCACCGGGTAGGTGATAGAGATGATGATCATACAGATCCTGCAATTCTAAGGTAGTACTTTTTGTCAATTGAATCTGAGCCGATGCATCTTATCTACCATTCCATAGTACCCTGGTGGACAGTGGACCGGCATGCAGCAATCATTTCATTTTCTTCATGATAGGTTGGTTCTGTACTGTTTTGATCGAAGTGCCCAGGCATGCGCTTCCTTGCATACAGCAGAGAACCAACTACCAAGTCTCAGATTTCCGGGAATTAATGGGCCTTGGGCTACGGACTGATAGAGCCGGACTGGGTGGATTGTGTTCACTATCTAGTAGTTAGTTTACCCCCCGGATGTTTGACAAAGTGGCTGGTGCAATCATCAGCTGAGAGCTGAGACTCTTCAGAGAGGGATCGACAGTGCAGAGTATTGAGAGTACTAGTACCCGTAGTCCATAGCTGCTACTACGGGATTAGGAATGTCGTAATGTGGCAAATTAGTTAGTCCTGAGGAGGCGGGAGCATCATTACGCGATTGCCTGATTGTTAGTACCAACTTCAAATTTGGATTCGAGGACAGTTGACATGTAGTGGAGAGTGGGATTCTCAATGAATACTAGTACTCAAAATCAGGGAAACATCTTAGAGCAGAGATCCAGGAAGCCACCGAGAGTTGTCAGAGTCGTTGGTTGGCTGGGTAAACTTAACCTCCCTGTCTCAGATCAGATTCTTTCACAGTACCTATCCAGCAGAACCTCCTGCAAGGACTCAAGCAATAGCAGTTGAACATTTCAAATATGTCTGTCTCACAACAGACCGTTATCATACTTTAGTAATAATTCAAATTTGGGGTCTTGTTATGCAGAGTGCAAGAAGCAGATTGCCTCCTGAGTCAGGACCCAGGAGTTCAGGGACCGCCATTTGACTGGACCTTGCAGCACGTAGGTGCAGATTGAAGAAATTAGGAATGAAAATACTGTCTACTATGAATCTAGCCTGCGACTCAATCTTTACAATTAATGTGATCGGTTTCATTTGATTCATTGCCATTTTCTACTTCTAAATGGTCATCCATGAATGATCAAGGGACTTGTCTATCTGTCACGGACTATCTGGAAAGTACTTTGTTACCCCATATTTCCAACTCCAGTCGTAATTCCTTATTTGGAAAATAGACAAGATTGAGCATGATGATCAGCAATCTGATGAAGATGGCGAAGAGCAATAATCTCTTGTCGATCAATGACCATTGGGACATTATTGCAATAGCCATGTCATACCTAAGCGAAAATCGTCTGTCTACCTTGGTGGCTGCGGAAAAGGGGAAGACGGGAGTGCCAGTTCCAAAGACCCAAAACAGTAAGCTCAACGGTTCTTACTATCCTAGCTGGAGCACGAAAAATTATGTACGTAGTATTATTGTCATCTGTCTCGCCGCACTCTCGCGTAAGTTATCAATCAGATGACATTGATGTTTCTCGTGTTGTTATTTGGTTATGGAGTACGGAGTTCGGAGCACCTGACAGAACTATTGACCGCTGGAGACACACTTACCGGCTGGGACGGAGATGACAGCTTGCAGGAATTGTATTGACTACAGAGTACAGACTACAGACTACAGAGAGTCAGAGAGTTGTCTTCAGCGCTGATAACCTGGTACCTAATAGTAAGTGGCTACTGGCTACATGCATAAGTCATGGTACGATCTCCAACAAGCTCCCGTAGCCGACAGAACCATGGTACCATCCCGACGGAACTTCTAGAATCATTCTGGAAGTATGGAATCCAGAATCTGAAGCTGATCGACAGAATGCCTGAGCGGTCAGCCACGATGAACACTGCAGATTGAGGCTGCAGGTCGTCGGAGGATTTATCTAACTCTTAGCAGGTAACACCAGGCCAGTTTACAACATCCTGGATGAGCATCGATGGCCATGTTTGATCGATTCAACATACCATTCAGCACCAGGTCGATCAGAAATGTTCATGGATCGCGTGAGTATCTCATATCTGATAGAGGTCAAAAGTACGAAGCTCGGTTCCACTGGCAATGTCTACATATCATCTCTGATCGACCTCGTGGTCTATCTGTCATCAGATTTGGTACGACCGTACGGCTCCTCCCATGGAAACCGGGAAAGAAAAATATGATCGTGATAGCTATCGCGATGCAGCGCCAGGATATGCCGGCTCAACGGGAGCAATCAAAATGGAACCTGGCTGACTTGTGGCTGGTGGGTTGAGCTGGTAAGGTACAGAAAATAGATACGCACTCCGTAGATACCTCAATGTGAATCCTCACGCAACGAAAGATGGTACAGGTACAGTACGGACCTAGAATGGAAGGATCTGATCCTTCTGCCGCGGCTCTCCGTTTTTCCTCCGCCCCATAGTGGCGAGGCTCAGCTGGAAGCTGTGTAGAAGGCCATGTGGTGGAGACTAGACGACTTATTTAGGTACTTTACGCGCTTGATGTATCATGTGTGATTGGTTGAATGGCAGAAAACCACACATGTCCGGTCTCCAGGGATCTTAACCTTTGAGGATAAGCCTGGTCAGGTCTGTCAGGATAGTTCCACTTCCCAAGCAGAACCGTTGGATAAGGCGTTCTAGAAGCTGTACTCCGTAGTCTCTACTCTGTAGGGCTTGAGTACTCAGACTAGGCTCTACTAGTAACTATCAGTCCACCAGAAATTAATTGCCAGTCTGCCAGCCATGTGTTTTCTGAGAGGGTTGCGGGTACAGACAGTAGGGCAAGACGCTAGAAGGACTAGAAGAACGCGAGAAGAATGCTAGTTGCATGTAACACGTAGACTAAGGTAGTCTAACTGGGGCGGGTAATCAGACCGAGTGGATTTGTTACTTTGCTTACTGTACCTACAGTAGGTGGCCCCACTGCCCCTTTTGTCGACTAGCCCGATTTCCACGGCGACCGGGAGAAACAACCAAAGCTGACACAAGCTTGAAAAAAAAAAAATAAAAAGAAAGACCGGACATCTACTCCGTATACATCAACATGACGTCCTTATTCGATACATCGACATAAAAATCAAGGGGATCCTGGAACATGTCAGAGCACAGCAGGTCAAGAACATGTTCAATGATCAATCTCTGACCTGACATTTGACTCAATCAGGGGAAGTGGACCACACTAGGGGAAGAAACCCGAATCAATAGTCGACCAGGCTTTGGGTCATGATGGACTTCCCGAGACTAGGTACCTAGGCAGTAGGGCGGGAAGCTTCTGGATTGGTTCCATTTACCCACTTTACGGCTGTTGACTTTTAGGGGCCTCAAGAAGTTAAGATCAGCCATGGAGTGCTATGTCGACAGCGTCTACGGTATGCTATCGCTAAGGAAAATAGAAAGTGCTGATATTTTGCACCGGAATATGCAGGACAAGCTAAGCGACAATTACACAGATCTTCCAGGCCATTGAGCATTCTCAAGCATGGGAGGGATAGCTTATTTCAACCAAGGCTTGACTGGCAGGATTCTTCATTTTGTAAAGACATCAAGAAACTCATGATTCCTTCGCATATCGTGGAGATGTCTACATTCAACCACCCAAAGGATACCTAACCAGTTTGCTTTGAGCCACTGAGAATACAATAATTTACCTGGAAAATTAGAAGTTTCATCCCAGAACAACCGTCTGGAGCCATCATACTGAAGACGGTTAGAAGCAGGAAGATAGCTTGGAAAATTCAAGGGTAGGGCTTCCGGGGATCACAAGATAATTCCGGTAGTAGGCAGTACGTAGATAGATAGGACTAGACTACGGGTATTAGTCCTCTGAGCCGTTCCACCTCACAGGAAAACCACGCGACAGAATCGAACGCAAAGGAGATGAGATCATGAGCTAGATGGGCGGAGAACTCTGGGTTTAATTCGGATCCATCCGTTCTGTTCCTGGCGACTGCGAGCCGTCTGGGTGACTGACTGAAGTGACTGGTGACTGGGTCCCACCCAAATGCATAGAGCCAGTCCGTCGTGTCCGAAGAATCGGTTCCTGCTTTCTAGCTTTCTTCCAAGTGGAGAGCTCGAACTTTC